TGTTGTATTGTCAACGGCCCTTGACCTCTGTGCAAATATTCAGTTAATCAGACTTTTTGAGACCGGTGAAAATTAGGATGAAAAGTTGCGTTACATACATACAAGTCAATACAAACGTGTTAAAAACAAAAATACTATGGTGTACCCAAGGTATCTGTTTTAGGATCTAAAGCTTTCAAACAAGAAATTACTACTTCTTTTTTTTCGAGATATGCATAGGATTCATTATTCTCACTGAATGTCTGCTATCATTTAATTCTATTACATCGAGTAATTGGCAACCTGTATTTTTAAGCTTTTGAGGTGAGCTTTAAACTTTAACTTAATTTTATATTGACCCATACTTTCGTTCTCAGAGCAAATAAGTCCACTTTGTTACTCCAACTCTCTGTTGCAATGCCTACTTAAGGTGAAAATTGCATTTGTTTCAGAATTTTTGAAATATGTGCTTACGAATTATGGTTATTAAGTTAAATACCTGGTTCTAATTGGTCAAAAAACTAAGCCACTAAGGAGTATATTTTATGACTAATTGAAAAAATTAGCGTCAATAAATTATATAGTTGCCAGATATTTCATACTTGATGTATTTTAACAACGGCTCAGTGAATTCAGAAGTATATACAGGGTGAGTTATCTATTGCGAGCCTACATCGGGTGTATTTGCATAAAATTACAATGAGTTGATATAATTGATCATTTTGATTATTCTTTTACTCACAAGCTCATCACGAATTATTACTAAAGATCAACCGTAATTTGGGTAAATTTAACATTATGAAAATAAAAACCAAAATACCAACAAATATCTACCTATCGGTTTCAAGGTTTCAAAGAAGTTAGTCAGAATTTTAGCTAGGATTTTAAGAACTTAAGCAGCCTAATTACAGAATGGTTTGTTGCCGATAAATCTACAATGAAGGTATTTGAGCTAATGCTGGCATTTTTATCATTGGTGCACCCTATAAAGTATACAGGGTGTTTCAGCTTATTGTTGCATAACTTTAAGATTCGATAGAACTTTTAAAATTAATGCATAAAGTCTATATAAACATGGGTCGAAAAATGCGTGGCTTCCGAAATACAGGGTGTTTAAATTTACTTTCTAAAATAGTTTTTTTTTAAATATTTCGAAAACTGTACCTGTAAAGTATTAAAATGACCGAAAAATTTTTCTTAGTGCAATTTTTTGCTTTTTGAATGAAAAAAACTGATTCTTCGCACTTTTCAACATAAAAAAGCTCTCTTGTGAATTTTCGTTATAGTTAGCCGTTTTTGAGATATTTCGATTTTAGAGTTCGATGCATTTTTAATTATTTATGGGAAAATAATATTTTTTTTTACATTTTCGATTTGGGCATTACAAGTAATTGAGATGATCGTTTAGATTGTGTTTTCAAACACAGCAATAATTCCTAACTCCAAATAAACACAAAAAACAGAATATTAATTTGTTTAATTTTCCAATATTATTTTTAACAAATTAAATTAATTATTTACAACTAAAATGCTATTGGATAGTTAGGACAAACATACAAAATCTAAAGTAGTTGCTCGAAATGTAAACCCAATTGTTCAATACACAATTCACATCTACGAATGATCGAACGTGGTATAGCATTATTCAAATAAGGCCTTATTTCATCACATGCATTCCTGATTCTGTCTATTAGCATATCTCTTGTGGTTACGGGAGTCTGGTACACTTTTTCTTTTAGAAATCCCCACACAAAGAAATCTAATGGATTTAGGTCAGGGGATCGTGGAGGCCAGGCGACTGGTCCTCCACGGCCGATCCATCTTTCTGGATAATTTTCGTCCAGCCAGTTTCTAACTGTTCTCGAATAATGAGCTGGACAACCATCAAGCTGGAACCAGGCCAATCTTCTTAAATCTAACATAACATCATCCCACATATTTGCATGTTCAGCCTTTAAAAATTCCAAGAAGGTCGCAGCATTTAACCTTGCAGGCAAAAGGTAGGGTCCAAATAGTCGATTACGGTAGATACCAATCCACACGTTCACACTAAATTCATGCTGAAAATTTCTTTCCCGAATTGCATGTGGATTTTCATGCGACCAAATATGTTGATTATGAAAATTTACCACTCCACGTCTAGTGAAGCATGACTCATCGGTCCATAAAACGTTACTTAAAAACTCCCTATTATTATCAGTTCTATCAAGAATCCACTGACAAAATGTGATTCTTCGTTCTCCGTCCCCTGGCTGTAGTCCTTGCACAGGTTGCAAATGGTAAGGACGTCTATGGTCATTTCTAAGAACACGGTGAACATGGCTTGCTGAAATTCCCAAGCCACCAGAAACTCTCCTAACACTTGTGGTCGGATCTCTATCAAACTCACCCAGAATCATACGGGTAAATCTGCGCTGACGAACATTTATGTTTTGATCCCTTTGGTGATTTCCAAAACCATTTTCAATTATTTGGCGATGCACTCTTACAAATACTGAGCGAGTTGGATGTCGTCGTAAAAGAAACTAAATTTCAGGTTTCAACAAACAACAAAACTAACTGTCAACTAATTGACGTTTAACCTTATTCTGCTTTCAATTTCAAAAATATTTGCAGGCACAGCCTACTTCTAAAAATTATCGAGATACTGACTTTTTAAGGTTATTTTATCATAAATAATTAAAAATGCATCGAACCTTAAAAATCGAAATTCTCAAAAACGGCTAACTATAACGAAAATTCAAAACAGAGCTTTTTTATGTTGAAAAGTGCGAAGAATCAGTTTTTTTATTCACAAAGCAAAAAATTTAATACACTACAGGTACAGTAGAGAGAGCCTTCTAGCGGCTACAGTAAAACTATGCCCATGGTTCGTTTTGTCGTACCAAAAAACCCAATTTTCACTGTTATACATCAAATATTGTTCGAAATATTTAAAAAAAACTATTTTAGAAAGTAAATTTAAACACCCTGTATTTCGGAAGCCACGCATTTTTCGACCCATGTTTATATAGACTTTATGCATTATTTTAAAAGTTCTATCGAATCTTAAAGTTATGCAACAATAAACTAAAACACCCTGTATAAGCACTAACTCAAGCCTTACCGGGAGTATGAATCAATATAAACGGTAACACTGGCTTGGTGCTGCCAGTACAGCTGTGTGTGATTTGGAAAAGCCGATGACTAGGGGGTCGAGTCTGGTACCAAAACGGAAGAGAGTTACAAAAAACATCGTACACCACTGTTGATGCGACGTGCCTTTGACTATGGTGGTATCCGCATGCACCGACTCTGCCGGTACAAAGGCTCATCACCTTAGCGTACGATATGTTCGCACTAGGGAATAAGCGGTGGCCATTGCCTTAGAGATTGTGATAATCAATGGCACCACGTGTTGTCATTTACACTTCTTGACTTGTGTAATATCAATATTAACATACTGTATAGAGCCATGAAGGTTCCGTGCATCTAATAGCCGTGACGGTTTGTATTACGTGAGTGCCGCACTGAATAACTTATTAAAATCGATATTTAATTAACAATATTTCAGTAATAGTTAGCCAGTTTCAGTAGAGTTGGAAATTGACAAACCTTAATTGCTGCAAATTACATCAGGGTACGTTATACAGCCAATTAACAAACCACCGACGACATGTGATTAAATTATAATATAACAGAGGAATATTTCGTTTTACATACACAAAAAGTAACTAAAAAAAATGTATATATTTTTAGATCAATTTGCAACATGCAGCATTTGAATCTTACGATGCTCAATGGGTCAGTTGTTGGGTTTGGATGAAGGAATAAAAAGGGAAGAGCCAACTGCAGGCGCCCCTAACAGCGCCAGTTCTTGAGAACGACTTTTCTCGCAAATGCCAAGATGATCCTGGGTATTGCCCATCTTGCATTTTCTTTGTTTTACAGTGATTTAAAATATGGACAGAGGAATCCTCATCATCACAAAGCGAGGATGGCACGGCATTGTGACTAATTGGAAGTCCAACCAACAATAGCAAATTAGTACTATCCAAATACTATATATATATATCTACAAAGAGAAAATGATCATGCGGAGAAAGGCATGTAACAAAAAGTATAAAAATAATGTGTAGGTTGGCTCTTGTTGTAGACTTCGTGTGTCGTTTTGTCGTTTTTTTCCTCTCCATCTTCGTTTCCTCAGTTTACACCCGTGTCCGGATGTGTGGGCATGTGTATCTACTTTTGTAGTTTCATGTGTGCATTCATTTCCGGCCTGATGAAGCCAATCAGCAGAAATACGTATCGCTCGGGTTACCTATCCTATTTCATGCTCGAATCCACTTTCCTCTTTTTTACGGATTTTGCCCATTATTTTTCTACTTTTTGTTATATACCTTTCTCCGCATGATCATTTTCTCTTTGTAGATCCTTTGGGCGTGAAGTACCACAGCAAGTGGCTATAACCGGCCGCGTGGTTGTGGTTAGATGTCTCCTTGAAAATTCGAGGTCTTCTAGCCATTTTATACTACAATGTGTAGGTTGGCTCTTGTTGTGGACTTCGTGTGTCGTTTTTTCCCTCTCCATCTTCGTTTCCTCAGGTTACACCCGTATTCGGATGTGTGGGCATGTGTATCTACTTTTGTAGTTTCATATGTGCATTCATTTCGGGCCTGATGAAGCCAACCAGCAGAAATACGTATCGCTCGGGTTACCTATCCTATTTTCTGCTCGAATCCTCTTTCCTCTTTTTTGCGGATTTTGCCCATTATTTTTTTACTCTATATATATATATATATATATATATACGTATATGTGATGAACTTTTTTGCTTAGAATAATGCTGCAAGGAATCGTCTCTTAAAGTTACGAATATTATTTCCCTAACACTCTGTATACCGGTAGATAGAAATGCTACTCTCTTGCCGTAGAACCTGCGATAAGTTTCCTCACACGTCGATATTAGGAGATATTTTTATACGTCACAGACACTCGATTTTGAATCCACTCATCAGTTATGGTTCTTATTCTGTTTGCAGATAATTCGGGAACCGACCCGTTTTTGTCCAAGAATCAACCATTGGATGGTTTACCTTTTTCAGTTTTTGGGATGGCTTCTTTCTTGATTGTAATATAACACCTCAGGACAACACCATTACACTATCCAGTCAAGTTAACCTATTGTAGAAGCAAAAATGAGAACGCTTATTGAAAATGACTTTCTACCATAATACCCTTGTCGTTGTGATGTATTCGTTCACCGTTATGGAGACTTGAGGTTTCTAAACAGAATCCAGCACGATACGGTGTAATTGGTGCGACAGTAATGTTCACCTCGACAAAAAATCAATTTCACTTACAGTAGTTTCTCCATAATGGAGTTTGAAGCCGATTTGGCTTGATAGAAGTGAATGATTTTTTAACAGTCTGGTCCGATTAAAAACTTTGTCAAGATAATTTCAAGTACATCAGATATAAGTTTGTATGCGAAAATGAGCTTTTAACTATCTTGTGCATCCCTATTTACAAGAGGTCTAAGACCAGAATAACCTTATACAGCCACCAAGGTCTGCATCTAAATTTACACGGGACTCCTGGGACAGTCGCCTTTGAACTCTTGGATAAAGTGGAAGCGCATCGCTACTTACCCGAGAATGAGGGATCAGGGGACGAGGGTTTTATTGTGTGCAATTACAGCGGGTATACACCTTCCCAGAAAAATAGAAATTTGCTCATGTCCAACCCACCCCAAGATAGGGATCTAAGAGCGACAACTACAGGCCTATAGCTCTGGTTTCGGTTATAAATAAGGTGATGGAGAGGTGCAGAAATCGCAAGCTTCTGGATTACCTCGAACGTCACGGCTTGATTAGTGACAGGCAGTGTGGTTTCCAGTTCCAGCGATCTACAGGGGACCTCCTAGCATACGTCACGCACTTGTGGAGAAAACTCATCCAGTTTTATGGTGAGGCTCAATTCCTCTCCATCCGCAAGATGCGCTTGTCAGATAGAGCCGCCTACCATCTACTAACTAGAGAACTTACCATCCTAACCGTGTCGAACTTCCTACATCCAGAACTGGCCGATGCGACACCGCTCCTTTGTCCCGAGCGTGTCGAGATTGTGGAACAATCTACAAGAGGATTTTTTTCCCAGTTCTAGTAAGCTTAGGCACTTCAAAAATCGGATTAACAAAATTTCTTTGGAATCCTCAAAACAGCCGCGGTGTCCTGGCATTTAGAATTCTGCCTGCGCGGCTGCTTCAGTATAAAAAAAGAGTGCATGTAAGTCAAGAGCTTGGATCTAAGGAACTACATATTGGCCTTCCAGGCAGAAATATATCCTAACAGCGTATAGGAGTGGTGCAAGAAATAGAAAGATCGTAGCATTTACACCTCTTCAATGCTCATGGTGCTTCCAAAGCGGTAGTATATCTTAATATGAGGTCAACACTGATCCACGAGACGCGACCCTACTGCTCTAAAAAACGCCTCCCTAGTAGAAAGAAACGCTCCCTTGTTCATTCTCTTGAAAAGTAGCAGGAGAAAATACGCGGGGATGTTGCCGCCGTCAGTCTTATCTTTAAAGACCTAGAAATGAACCACAAAACATCTCCACATCTTCTCTTGGTTATTCTACTCCAGAAAGTCTTCTTGGCATGGATGGATTGACAGGACTAGTTGACAAACGTCAAAACAGACGCTTAACGCTATCAGAAAAAGTAATAGAACACTTTCTTTCGGTTATTCTAATCCGTGGGCTTTAAGAATTCGGGCCGGAAGGATCTGGTCCACAACTGAGTGCGTTCAGCCAACGTAAAGGTTCCAACGGTGCTGAATAACAGTTCGACAGCTTTTTTGACTTGGCCGTCAGATGTGGTAGTTTGTTGATTAGATGTTGCGAACATGAAGACTAGAGATAGGAGGTTAAGCTTAAGGTGTCAAAAAGTCGACGATGAAGTGAATTGGTACACTGAGCAGCGAATGAATTTCAGATGCAGCGCATCCGGCATCTCTCTCCGGCGTACACTGCGCAGAAAATGAATCTCAGGTTCTGCGCATGTGGCACCTGCTGTCATCATGACTGTAAATAACTCCAATTTTTACAGTTCGGGCGAGTTGCGAGCAGAAATATTAGATAACATTAATAAACCACGAAATAATAAATCAACAAAGATTGGCAAAACGTGAGTGAAATGCACATAAAGATTGCGGCAGGTTATGTTTACGCCATGGTGGTGACAGTATTGGATTTATATGAATACACAGTTTAACCACCTATCTATAGTCTTCGTGTTTGCGAATTATCAAACCTATTCCAGCATTGTCATCAGCTTACAAAATAACTAATTGATAGATTACAAATCTATCTATTTGAGGTTACGGTACAAAATTCGATCATGTCAAATTCGCTTAACATAAAATCATATTTAATAATTTCACTTGTATGTTCAGTTGAACCGGAGTATAATAGAATACAGAATAACGAGGTTAAATGGAGAGCACTCATCGAGTCAGCGTCCATAAAGCTCCGCGATGATTGGTGTGGCTCGGATCAGAATCACCTTCACGGTTGACGATCCCGAAACAAACAGTCCACGGAATGCGGTGCCGTAATTTTGTATTACGGTTTTTAAATCAACTATTATTAGGCGCACTATTTTACTATCAAACATAGCACCCAAGGAAAATCGAGATGGACCCTGAATCGTTTGTGCGTGACTGCGATTAGAGCTGGAGCCACTATCGAGTAAAAAATGACGTCAAGTAGGTTGAATCTACACCTCCCACGCAACACCGTCATTACTTCATAAGTGATTACTATTATGAGAAAAAAGAGTTAAATACGAACATTTATAACGCAAAAAAGAATTATGTGGATCAAGTTAGCCAAACAGGCCCTAGTCCATAGTCCCACCATTTGATAACGCTGCGATCTAGACACTTGCTCCGTGTCCTTACTGAAAGTATCAACCATCTGGCAACGTCATGCTATGCCGGTCAGCTGGCGCAATGTGGCGGTGAGAGTTTAAGCCGCAGTCGCAGAAATGGCTTTGTGGCCACCAAAGTTCTTAACGTACGGCAAGTACGACATCTTTCTGCAAGACTTAGGAGCAAATGTTTCTCAAAGTTTTAAGAGCAAATGTACGGGGCAATCTATGAGATATGATATATATGTACTAATATGTGCGTAGAATTAGCAGGGCTGGAAGCATATAATTATACCACCGACAAAAAATTAAAATATACTCTACCAACTTCTAAAAAATGATCAGTAACCTCTAATACATCAAAAAACAACATCTGAGCGATTCTTATTAGTTCGATTTTTGCCCGTAACTCCGCCGCCACTGGACCGATTTTCAAAATCTTTAAAGCTTTTTCGCCCTTGGCATAGTAGTAACCTTGTGTAAAAATCTCATTCAAATACGGGCAGTATGTTCCAAGTTATAGATGGCGCAAGGATTTGCGGACAGACCGACAGGTCGACAGACAGACCAACGGAAATGAGTGAATTACCAGAAAGTTGCTTAAGGTAAAGCATGAAAAGCATAACGGGCCCATCTTACCGACCTTTCAGAAGATCTTATGATTTTATCCAATGGAGATATGAAGACATCCGAGAAAATCCAAGGAGTTCCAAGAATTTCCATGGGCGGAGAAAATCGTTCCTCCCAATGTAGTGTGTTAGATACCCTTCTCATCAAAAGCAACACGATGGCAACTCGACGACAACCGAATTCATTTCGATTTGAGGTTGAGACAAAGATCCCTAAGCATTTACTTAAGGGTAAGAGCGTGGAATATAAACAAACTATTGACTTGACTTAAAGAAAAGCGTATTTCACACACACTGTTCTAGCCAGATCACTCAACATATATTATGTACTCGTAATATTCTTTTATTTACCAAAAACTCAAAATACATGACCAATATGTATAATACGCAATGAACGATCTGCGGAAAGTAATATTTTACATAGGTCTTTTCACGGCTTTTAGAAGGTCAGAGTAAAACTACAGGAATTGCTTTCTTACATCCATGTCTCTCACACATACATATACAATCGGCCTCCATGAGCTCACAGACATACGGCTTTTTTGTCTCGCCGCCTTGAAAAGCTTCTCATGTATGCATAAATCTTGCACATATATACTTGTCATTGTCAGCTTGACACTATTCGTCATTTGTGTGGCTGGGCGGTCCGTAGGAGCTTTGCCCATAAGTCACTGTCTAGTGTACGTTAGTCGAATCTGTCAGTCCTGGTTGCCCAGAAATCAGACAGTGTCCAGAGTGTCAAGGAAAAAGAGAAAGATGAATATAACAAAAAAGGAGAAAAGCAAAGAAAAACAGAAGTGTATTAGTTTAAGGGGAAGCACCTAGGCTTTTTGACTTATTACACGGATTAATTTTGAGGTGAACTAAAAACAAATTTTGATTCAGGTTTTGTTAGAGTGTAATTTTTAATTACAGTGCGAGCCGTGGCCTTGAATGTTTACTAATCTGCTCCACTGTGTAGTCCACTGAGTCACGCAACAGAGGGTTGCTATGCGATTTCGCTTGACTTTATAGTCTGAAGCTTGACATAATCCCTCAAATAAAGAATGTCAAGGTCTTTGTGTAGTGTCTCATTTGATACACACCATGGAGCGTTGCAAATTGTTCGCGAAGTTCTGCTTGCAGTACTTGAAGACTTTGCATGTGTGTCTTGGCAAGAAAACACCATAGTCGAACTTTGTTTACCAAATTCAATTTGGAGTATCTACATAACAAAAGATATAGTTGTCGAAACGCAATTTGGAATTTTGTTTTCAAGGCTGCTGTATGTTTCTGCCAGGTCATGCCTTTATCAAGGGTGATACCGAGGTACCTGGCAGAATTTGTCCATGGTACAAGATTTCCGTCTACAGAAACCTCGGCTGGGGTGCCGTGACGATTTTTGGTACAATAAATAGCCTGCGTTTTCGAATGATTAATTTTAATCAGCCACCGTTCCGCCCACTCTAGTACTTCGTCCACCGCACTCTGCAACCCATCGTGAACCAGATCAGCAGTACACGACTGGGCGACAAGCGCAGTGTCATCAGGGTAGAGGTAGACTTCACAGTTGCTGGGGCAAGGGACATCATGGATAAAAAGCGAGTAAATGGTTGGTCGTAGGACAGAGCCCTGAGGAACACCGGCACGT